ACAACTTTAGAAAGAAAAGGCTCTCAGGGATATAATATTATTTGTGTACAGTGAATTGACAAAAAGACATAAAACATAATTTGGGCTTCCATATCACTGGAAAAACATCATTTGGAATATATGTGCATATGCAGAAATAAAATGCTGATAACATGAAGCTAATTATTGTTTGAAAATCAGTGTTGCCAAATGAGTAAGATAGCGCAGCCTATTAATAATGACCTGACTTAACATTGTGGATCTGATTGTTCTGACAATAAGTTGGAAAAGAGAAAAATTGGAAGCTGGAAGACTATTAAAAGACAAATGGGAGATATGTCATGGAATGTAGTATTGACAAGTTGTGGTAACTGATTAGATATGGGAGATGAACAAGAATGAATCCCAGGTTGTGAATTTGAATGATTGGTGATATCTTTGTCAGAAGTAGGAAAGTTTAGAAGAGGGGCAGGTGAGGATTAGGAGTGAAGATTATTAGTTTATTTTGGACAAATTGAGTTCAAGAAGCTGAGGGAGAAGAATAGGTTGAAGATGTCAAGGAGACAGTTGGTGTCACAGGACTGAAAACTAGGAGAGAAAGTAGAGTAGAATAGGTAGATTTTCAAGTCATCTAAGTAAATGTGGTCATTGAGCCATTGGGAGCCAATAAGATCATTTTTCAGCTCTGCTGGTTGCTATTAGGAAGCCCTAAGAATGAAAAAGCATTTATTAACCACTAACTACGGTGCCTATTGTTGTCATTAGGTCCTTTTCAGTTGTATCCTACTCTTCATGACCCTATTTAGAGTTTTCTTGGCAGAGATACTGAAGTGGTTTGCCATTCCCTTTTCTAGCTCGTTTGACGAGTAAGGAAATTGAGGCAAATAGGGTGAAGTAACTTTACTCAGGGTCACACAGCTAGTAGTATCTGAGGTCACATTCAAACCCAGGAAGATGAATCTTTCTGACTCCAGGCCAGCCACTCTATCCACTGAGCCACCTAGCTTTGATATTTACCAGCATATTAAAATTAAAAAAAAATGTTAGCTTTTGAATTGTGGTGCTGGAGGAGACTTTTAAGAGTTCCTTGGACAGCAAGGAGGTCAAATCAGTCATTACTTAAAGAAATTAATTCAGATTCAAGTTTAATCCAGCATGGGAAAGACCACTTTTTTTTTAGTGTCCTTTATATCCCCCTTTGTGCTTTTTCCACCAGTCCATGCTTTTTCTCCAGATTGTTGAGAATTCATCGTATCTAAAACGACTCCACACCCACCTCTCATACCACACTACCCCCACAGCACAACTCCTGTTCCCATACTCTGGCCCCCATATCAACTCTACCATTTGGTAATAGGTATGTCAATTAACCTACAATTCTTTTCAGAATCATAGTAAATTGCCAAACCAAAATAGCCACGAGGGCCACCATGGCCTAACTGTGGTTTTGCCTCTATCAGAATGCAAGCCTTGAGAGTAGGGCAGGATATTAAACCCTGGGGATACAAATACAATAAGGCTGCCCTACTCTCTTTTTTGGAGGACATGGCTATGGAAAGATGTTCACCTTGCTTTAGTACAGCTACTTTCTCTCACAATTGAATCTACTTTGCTACCTGTTTTTCTTTTCTTTTCTTCTTTTTTTTTTTTGAATGTTTCTTTGACAGTGGTTGCTCATGCAAATCATGCCTCTGGCCTCCCACTTTTCTCCTCCAAATTGACAGGTGTGTAGGTGCTCACAAAAGCATCGCTGTCACTGTTCCCCAAAACAATTCTTAAACCTACCTCTGGGACTGATGATAAGTATAAAGATTAAAGCTTTTCCCCTGGAATTTATGGTACTGAGCCAGTCAGGATGGAACATAATGCCCAGAAAGGATAATCATACCAGACTTTAGCTACTCTGCAACTGTATAAAGGCCAAGTAATACCTAGTCCCTGTTGCTGGCAGGTTTAGGGACATACCTAGTTCCCTAAAGTTAACTCCAGGCCTGGCCTAATGTGTCATCAAAGTAGGTGAACATTTATGTAATGTGATTTGAGGGGAGATGGATAGGGCCTGTTTGCTTAAAATATCAGCCTACACTTTAGCGATGGACTGGGAAGCTGGCTGACCAGTACTGAATCTGCCAAAAAAGTAACTGACTATCATATTGGGCAAGTCATTTACCTCTCTGGATCTCAGTGTTCTGATTAATAAAATAAGGAGTTTAAAAAGCACTGAAGGAGTCTCAGTTGGAAAAAGTTTAAGAAGCCCTGGACTAGGTGACCTCTAAGGATTCTTCCAGCCTTAAGGTTTTTTTTCTTTTTCTGTGTGATGATTTTTGAACCTCTCTGCATCTCTCCATCTTTTCCTTCAAGCAATTAAGATTCTCCATACTAATGGTAGTTTACCAGTAGGCCCCAGGGAAGGGATGGTTTGGATTTGTACCAGCTGGGCAGCATTTGGCAACTAGCCAGGGCCCATTTGTGATTAGTAGGGTTGGAAGGCACCATTGTTATCCTTGTCCCATTAATTATTAACACATTGGGTATTCATTTCCATTTCTACTTCAACCATTTATTTGACTAGCTTTTGTGGACTCCGTGTGGCTTGTTGATTAGAGATGGCTTTGGGGTGTGGCAGAAAGACCTCTGGACTGGGAGTCAGTAGAACTGGGTTCTGAGAGTCTCAACTATACAATTAACAAATGTGACTTTGGGCAGATCACTCCCCTTCTGGGCCTCAGTTTCTTTTGTGAAATGAGGGGATTGTATTTGAAGATCATGGAGAGCCCTTCCAAGGCTGGCATTCTTTGATTTTATGTTACTTCCCTACCTAATCCGTTGAGCTGTAAATAGCTCAATAGATGATGTGGAGTATTCAGGCTTAGCAGGTGGATGAGATAGAAGAGAGATGTGTTCATGTTCATAGGGTCCGCCTTTTTCCATTTGTTTCACTTTGCCTTTGGTGTTTTCAGAGCACAAATGACAGCTCTTGGGTTTTTTCCCATCCTCCTAGTTTAAGCATATAATTTTCTTGTATCTCAGTGAACTGTGTTTACTGCAAGGCAGCCACGTGCATGATTCATGCTAACAATGGTCTATTTTATCTATGTTGTGGTGAACATGATAGAACTGGTCACAGCTGTTCTCTAGAGAAGAGGTATATGTGGGTGTGCAGTGGGGGAGAGAAGGGGGGAGTGAAGAGAGAATGAATGAGAATGGGAGGATGTTACTGTACATTTTCTCTTTTCTGACTTATGTGTCCGTATGTCCATTTCAGCTAGAATAGTGGACTATTTGGGAACCTGAGGGCTAATGAGAGTGGAGGGTCAGCTACAGAGTTGATTTGTCAGGTATTTGGGGCAGGGTAGAGGGAAGAAGCTGAAGCCAGATAATTATTGGAGTTACTTGAATAGAAATGACTCAAAGGCCATTTTATTACAGAGACTTTCTTATTGAGGGAGTATTGTGTTTTTGTTTCTTTGGAAATTTAACATTTCCTGGATTGGATTTTAAAATTTTCAAATATATTCAACATTTAAGAGCTTCTGTATCTGTTTAGTAATGATGATGGTGTTCCTTCATATTAATGTAGTACTTTTACCTTTTCAGAGTAATTTCCATCCATTTTCTTATCTGCTTCTGTGAGGGAATATTATCCCCATTTTACTGATGAAGAAGTAGACTTAGAGAGGTACTGTGGCTTGGAAATCATAGAATTAGAATGGACCAAATGACCCCTCCCAGGTGTTTGACAGAAGAGAATTGACTTGCTCAAGGTGTTGTCGTTAATACCAGAGCAATGAATAAAATTCAGGTACCCCAGCTCCTAGTCTTTTGTTTTTTCTATTATAGCAGCGCCCATCCTTCACTCTCATATTGTTATAAAAGTTTCCCCATCACTACAGCTTTTAGTGTGTGAGGCTACTGTCTCTCTCAGAGGAAGAATATGAAAGTAGGAATGGAGGATAGTAGGGAAAGACCCATACAAAGCCCAGGCCTAATTTTTTCTACCTGACAGTGATATGATCACTCTCCCCTCATCTCTGCAAATGTTCTCAGCCAGAAAAATGATTAAACTAGAATTCATTCCTCCTTGTTAGACATGCCAAGTAGGGAGTTGGGGCAACATCATAAAGTATGATTATGATCTGCTCTGAGTCATTATTTTTGTTATGTCTGCAGTATATCAGTACCAAGAACTCTCAGGGAGTTCTGTTTCTAACTTTGTTTAAAACAGTTACTTTCTTTGCAAGTAATACATAATCTCTTTCTCACCTGGCTTTTGCTGGCGTTATTTTAATCATTTTTCCATTTACTGGTTGTATTGAGCATCTCTTTCAACATCTGCTGGTAAAATCAAACCTTCCAGGTGGCTCTGCTGAGGTTTCCAAAGTGGCTATCACACAGCTAGTGAGATTCAGACTGTTTGATGAGTTTTTCAAAACATCATAACAGTCTTTTTTTGAGGGTAGGATCTGGAAAAGAAATGGAACAAAAGTGCACACATGGTGAGCCCACCAAACACACACATATACTCACATACATCCCAAGGTAAAGGCCCCAGATTGATTCTGCGTAACCTGTTAGAGTTTATTTGACCACACCCACCCTCCCTACTTAGGTACCTAGGGTAGAAAATAATAAAATCAACATTGGTTTTACCTTCATAAGAATCAAAGATCTATCATTTTGTCCAGTGCTGTTTATTTGGTCCCAGGCATTGCCTGGACCACTAGAATCCTAAGATGTTAGAGATGAATGTCATCTTGAGGATCATTTAATCTGGCCTCCTTGTTTTACAGAGTTTCTAGGACTGAAGTGACTTATCTAAGGTCACATAATAGCAGAGACTAGAGTAGAACCTGAGTTTTCTGATTCTGAGGCCAGGTCTTTTTCTTATACTGTTGTCCCTCCTCTGCCTAAGAGAAGAGGTGGACCCTTTGTTGATTTCAGTTTATTTCCCAGTAGGGCTAATGGGCTGTCCTACTGGAGAATTCTCACTGTGTCTGTGTCTGTCTCCTCTTTTGGGGCAGGACTAACCTCGAGGCGCTGCAGAAGAAGCTGGAGGAATTAGAACTTGATGAACAGCAACGCAAGCGACTGGAGGCTTTTCTCACCCAGAAACAGAAAGTGGGCGAGCTGAAAGATGATGACTTCGAGAAGATCAGTGAACTAGGAGCTGGGAATGGTGGTGTCGTGTTTAAAGTTTCCCACAAGCCCTCTGGCCTAATCATGGCAAGGAAGGTGAGCTTTGTGACTTCCTGAGCCAGAGGCACTTAAAGATTCTCACTCAGCTCCTCATCCCTCCGTGAAACCTTCCTTGACTGTGTGGTGATGACTCCCCCTCTCCCCAAATCAGACTTCACATAGCACTTTGGTACTTCTTTTATGCTTTTAACAATAAATACAAAATATACAATATCTGTGTGTCATTTCCCCCTACTCTAAGCTCTATTTGGACAGGGAGCACATCTTAACTAACTTTTGTACATTAGGGGACTTAAGCCTAGAGATCTGGTTTGTTCCACATCCCAGGTCATTCCATGTACCTTCAGTCTTCCTGGAAACTTTTATAACAGTATTGGGGGGGAGGGATTCTAATGGAAAACATACTAGGTTAGGAGTCAGAGTACCTGGATTTTTTAGTCATAGCTCTGGTATTAACTACAACACCTTGAGCAAGTGCATAGAGGGGTGGGGAACCTGCAACCTCTAGGTCCTCAAGTGCAGTCCCTTGACTGAATCTAGACAAGTGAATCCAAACAAGTTTGGATTCAGTCAAAGAGTCGCACTTGAGAACCTAGAGGACCACATGTGTGTAGGTTCCCCACCCCTGGCCTAGGATGTAGTTCTGCATATATGTTTAATGCATGTTTTGGAAAATCAAATTAGATTTATTCGTTGTTCCCTTTCTTCCTGCTTTTTGTGGGCTAGTAGTCTATTTACTGTGAGAGGCAGATCTCATTTCACTTTGTTGCTAGTACCCATTCTAGGAGAAGTCTCTTCCAAACATCGTGCACATTATGACCATATTAAATTAATATTCTAGAAACACAGATGTTGTAAACCCTTGCCCCTAACTGAAATATATTTACTTAATACATGGAAAAAAACATAAAAAACTTAACATCCAGTGGGTCCCTCATTTTCTCCAGAATAAAGTCCATATTCCTTTGCTTGGTATTTGAGACCCTTATTAATATGGCCCCATTCCCCCCCGGTCCCCGACTTAATAGTATATTTTTTCCAATTACATGTAATGATAGTTTTCAACATTCACTTTTTTTAAGATTTTGAATTCCAAATTTTTCTCCCTCCTTCTCCACCCTCCTTCCCCAAGACAGCAAGAAATCTGATATAGCTTATACATGTACAATCATATTAAATATATTTCCACATTAGTCATGTTGTGAAAGAAGAATCAGAACAAAAGGGAAAAACTGCAAGAAAGAAAAAACAAAACAAAAGTAAAAATAGTATGCTTCCATCTGCATTCAGACTCCATAGTTCTTTCTCTGGATTGTGGATAGCATTTTCCATCATGAGTCTTTTGGAATTGTCTTGGATCGTTGTATTGCTGAAAAGAGCTAAGTCTATCATAGTTGATCGTCACACAGTGTTGCTGTGTACAATGTTCTCCCAGTTCTGTTCATTTTACTTAGCATCAGTTAATGTAAAACTTTACAGGTTTTTCTGAAATCTGCCTGCTCATCATTTCTTATAGCACGATAGTATTACATTACTTTTGTATACCACAACTTGTTCAGCCATTCCCCAGTTGATGGGCATCCCCTCAATTTCCAATTCGTTGCCACCACAAAAAGAGCTGCTATAAATATTTTTGTATGTATAGGTCTGTTTCCCATTTTTTATGATCTATTTGGGATATAGACTTAGTAGTGGTATTACTGGCTCAAACTGGTATGTACAGTTTTATAGCTCTTTGGACATAGTTCCAAATTGTTCTCCAGAATGGTTAGATCAGTTTACAACTCCACCAGCAATGCATTAATGTCCCAATTTTCCTACATCTTCTCCAACATTTATCAGTTTCCTTTTCTGTTATATTAGCCAATCGGATAGGTGTGAGGTGGTACCTCAGAGTTTGGCCCATTTTTACTATCCACCCATATCTCATTGCTCCCCAGCACACCCTCTAGTGTTAAGTCAATGTTTTCACTGTCTCACAAATATGTCATGATCATTCCTGCCTTTCTGCCTTTAGTTACATCATTCCCTAAATCTGTCCAAGGCCTATCCATCTTAAAAGGTTGAAATATTTCAGCCTCCTTCAGGAAGCCTTCTCAGACTACTTCAGCCCACATTGTTTATCTTCTCTGAATTTCTATAATACTTAATTTCTTTTCCATTCTAATAGTAAGAGACAGTGTGTGATTAACTGTTTCATGCATATATGTTTTGTTTCTGTAACTGGATTGAAAGCTGCTGGAGGGCAGGGACTGTATTTTTGTGTTTCTTTAGTTTCCTCCCTACCACATGCCTAGCAGCATGTCACGCATAGTGGGTTCTCAGCAAATATTTGTTAAATGAGTGTCTGTTGAATGGACTTAGCATATGCTTTTGAATTTTTAAAGCAAAAGAAAGGTTGCTGAGGAGGAAGTTAGGTGATTCTTGGATTTTCAGTAGATCAGAGTAAAGTCAGTGTGTGGCCTTGAACAAATGCTAACAAAATACTCTCAGTCCAAGGGGAAACCCCAGGTAGCTTGAATCTATTCAGAAGTTCCCCATTCCCCTTGCCTCATAAGAACCAGTGAACCACTCTATAGCTGCAGCGAACGAACACTTCCAGTTCCATGTCTCCCTTAGGAGAGGTTGTCTTTCGTCCCATTCCCTGTCCCCCCCCCAATCTCTATCTCTGCCCAGGTCCTCAGAAGGTAGTAGCACAGCCTGCATTCCTTTAGTCATGGCTCATTCAGTCACAAACACAAGCCTTGGCTTTTTATGCTTTAGTATTTGGTGCTTTGGGTGGGTGGGTGGAACATGTTTATGAAAACTTGCCTTTTCCCTTTTTTTTTTAAATTTTCTTCGTATTAAAAGCTTCCGTAGTTATAAAGATGATTTCCAAGTTGTTGTCGTTGTTTTTAACAGCTAATTCACCTGGAGATCAAGCCAGCAATTCGGAACCAGATTATACGGGAGCTGCAAGTCCTGCACGAGTGCAACTCTCCATATATTGTAGGGTTTTATGGTGCCTTTTACAGCGATGGGGAGATCAGTATCTGCATGGAGCACATGGTAAGTGGTTGGCTTCTCTAGTGGGACCAGTAGGCCAACTCTAGCTAGATCATTGGCCCACAGAGGTGCTAGTTAGGCTCTGCTACTATTGGTAAGAGATGGAAGAATTGGTTCTCATCAGTGTCCTCTCATTTGCTCTCATTCTTTCCCATCAAATAACTCTGTTATTTAGAGGAAATTGATGTGATGAAGTACTTGGGAGAATCAGCATTAAATAGCTTCTGGTTCCTTCTCTTTTTGTTTTGCAGAGCATCTCCTTTCCCCTCTTAGTTATATTCCTGAAGTTCCATGGGTTAGCACTGACCTGGGGGAAGAAGTTCCTGATCACACTAGAACATGGAAGGATGTTCTAGTTTTATAGTTTTGGTGTTTGGGTTTTTTATTAATTCTCCCATTATTTTAAATGATCAAGATGTTCTTTACAGATTCTTCCAGACATCTGTCAGCTTTTTTTGGTGCCATATGGAATGTACATTCTGGAAGCATTATCTGTGTGTCTACAGGTTATTCAGAACACTTCTTCTTGCTTATCCAGGAGAGAGGAAGTTTTCTGTGGAAGTAGATCCTTAGTTCAATAGTTACTGTGCCCTCACCCCCACCCCAGTGGTAAAGTGATCCTTTATGGGGAAGCATATAAGTACACTTTTATTTTTATAACGCAAAATGATGATTTTTTTTTTATTCAGCTTGACCTTATCCTCCACTTAGAGAGAGTGAGAAACATTTCTTGTCCTTTTGTTCCTTATGTACTTTTTGTTGGTAACAAAATCTCCAACCCTGGCATGTAAAGTTTGGATGCAAATGTGTGAATGGCAAATGAGGACCTGGAAACCGAAGTGGGAAGGAAGGTGATGATCATGCTCCAGGGACAGGAAAGGCAAGAGCAACCTCCCTTCCCTTTAGGCTCTGCCAGGAAGATGGAAGGTATGTGGACTGACCAAGGGTTTGGAGCCAGCCTGATCTCTGGGCTTTAGTCCTCTCATGTATAAAATGAGAGAATTAGGCTTGATTATTCTGGTTCTTAGAATCACTGTTTCCAGAACTATGGTTATGATAGTTCCGCTGTACTCCACCCTGCTCAGCCCACACATAACATATTAGTTGAGGCAGCCACATTTTAGGAAGGATATTGATAAGTTAAGGAGCAGTGAGAGCGGAATTTCTGGATCCTGTGACCAGCAAAGTACAAGGCTACAGATTTTCTCTGGCACTTAGCACCTGTCAGACCTCTCCAAAGTAGCAATTACATACAAGCGATAAAGCACCTTCATATTTCTGTATAGTCCAGGACAGCAAAAAAAAAAAACTAATGAGGTAACAGTCTGATGAACCAACATCGGAAAAGCCTAATTCCCAATTCTAACTTACGTCATTCAGTGTACTGGGTTAGATGCTGAAGAGGAGATAAGGAAGCATGAGATAATAATGATAATCATGATACTTAATGTTTATGAAGAGTGGGGGTTCTCAAGCGAGGGTGCAGGAACTTGTTTAAAATATTTTGATAACTGAATTTCAGTACAATTAGTTTCCTTTGTAATCCTTTGTATTTTATTTTATGCATTTTAAAAAACTATTCTGAGAAGGGATTCTTAGGCCTCCATGACACAAAAACCGTAACCATCTCATGTAGAGCTTTGAGGTTTGCAAAGAGATTTACATACATTGTCTCATTTGATTCTCATGGCAACCCTATGAAAGGTGGGTGCTGTTTTTATTCCAACTTTACAGATGAGGAAAGTAAGACCTCTTAAGAGAGGTTGTGACTCAGATGCCCAGGGTTTTTTGTTTAGTTGTATCTGACTCTCTGTGACCCCATTTGGGGTTTTCTTGGCAAAGATTCTGGAGTGGTTTGCCATTTCCTTGTCCAGGATCACACAGCTAGTTCAGTGTTTGAGGAATAATTTGAACTCATGTCTTCCAGATACCATGTTTTCTGCTCTATCTACTGTTTTACCTAGCTACCTGAATGAGATTTGGTCTCTATCCTTGCAGAGCTTACAGTCTAGTTGTGGTTTCTTTTGTGACTGTACTTCTCACTGAAGTCAGTTTTTTCAGTATTCGGAAATCAGTCATTGCAGGCTTTGCTGAGGTCATAATATCTGGACATAATAGCTAATGATAATGATAGCTAGTATTTATATAGCACCTATGGTATCCTAGGTACTATACTAAGAGCTTTACAATTATTATCTTATTTGATCTCACAACAATTCTGGGAAGTAGTTGAGTGTTCTGAGGCAAACAGGTTTTTCACAAATGCATGAGTTAGTTGACCTTATGCCTTTTCCTGAGAACATCAGAAATAAAATCTCTACTCCCCTCCGTCCTAGAAGGAAAGCCAAAGAAAAGTTTTGTGGGAGTAATACGGTTGTCTTCTGCCATGTTTGCAAAAGTTAAAGATGTGGCCAAACGTCAAGAACCTGTAATGGCCCTTAGCTGTAAATTTGCTTTAAATCCTTCTAGACCCTGTTTCTGTTTGCATTCTAAATGCCTATCAGAAGAATGAATTGGGTAAGTTTAATTTCTGCTATGTAAAAGACTTCTTGTCTTTTATTGTCTTAAGTTTGCCTTTTTCATATGTCTGTGGAAGTTTTGGTTTTCATGTTCTAGGATTTCGTGAACAAGTAAGCATGTGAGAGGCAGCCAGGTGACACAGTGGATAAAGCTCCGGCCTTGGAGTCAGGAGGACCAGACACTTGACTCTTACTAGCTGTGTGGTCCTGGCCAAGTCACTTAACCTAACCTCAATTGCCTCACCAAAAAAAAAACAAACAACAAACCAAAAAAACAAGTAAGCATATGTTCAATCTTCTATCTCCTACATGATTTTGGAGGCTACTCTCCCTATTCTGGCCTTCTATGTGGAGAATACAGTCTTTGATGGGGTATGAGCCTCTCCCACGAGTCATACCAAGAGGTTAGTCAGTTTTTATGGGGATCTGGTTTCTTTAGTGTAGTAAGTACGAGGTGTCTTGCACAAAAGGCCCCAAGACAGAAGACCCCTCATGTATTACCCTGTGGATGAGGTTGATCTTGTGTGATAAGTGGCCAGGATTGGGATACCTAGCAAAGGCTAGGAGGGCCAGGCAGAGTCAGGTTAGGGCTAAACAGTAGCTTATTCTGATACAAAAAACATGCAAATAATGAGGTCAGGTTAAGCCCTGTGTCATGTTTGGGCAGACTGCAAACTAGTATCCAGGGATCAGAAAGGCAATAGAATCTAGAAGCTAAGAAGAGGAGCAAGAGGTCTTCACTCGTGAGAAGGGCAGAATGGAAGTAAAGAGGGAAGCTTATTTGTGACCTTGGTAGTCCAAGCAGTTGTTCTTCAGCCTTAGAAGCTTGTACTGTAGAGTAGGAAACAGGCTCAGAGGTTGTATCTTGTCCCAGCGCACACAGCTCTTCTGCTGTGGAAGAGCTATGACCGGAACCCAGGTCTCATCTTCTAGCCCAATATTTTGTACTGTGTTACACTCTGGATGACAGAAATTTTTTTTCTTTTATAACTGTTGTCCTCTTCCTTTCTTTCATTTCATCCTTGGCTTCCATTAGTAATTCAACCACTACCACCCAGAATATTTCATCCTTTGATGTTTCTTGGTTCTTCTTGTACCACAGAAAAATACCTGGTGACTTCAGTTTATTTAGAACTTACTATGTAAGTGCTTGATTGATTTATCTCAGAAAGAAGTTGCAATGACACTTCCCAGTCTGAGTTTTTGGAAGAAGGAATAGACAACTCCTGGGTTACAGCTTGGTTTATGGTATCTTTAGTGCTACAGAGACTTGCTCAGATGGTGAAACTGGGACTTATCTGTTAAGTAGATAGTTCTGTTGTAAGAGTTTTTGAACTAATATTTTCATAAAGCATCTGCTGCTTCTATAGAAAACCTTCACAAAGGCACTGTTAACTTAGATCATAATTAGCTGCTAAAAATAAGTACAATTTAGGCAGCTTTATTTTACTCAGCAAGGCCCTTAGCAACAGTGATATAGAATTGGAAAGGTGGGAAGGTTAGTATAATCAGCTCTTGATTCTCATTGCAACTTATCCAACAAATCTTTCTTTTGACTTCTTTATGACATTGTACCCTCTTCACTTTGAGCCATTTCTTTTAGAGCAGGCTAGATGGCCCAGTGGATGGGATGCTGGACCTGGAGTGAGGAAGACCTAAGTTTAAATCCCTTCAGTTGTAAAATGGGGATGATAATAGCACCTAAGATAATATTTGTGAAGTGCTTAGCACAATGGCTGACACATAGTAGGTACTTAATACTTGTTTCCTTCCTTCCTCCCTTCCTTTCATGACATTGTCATTATTTCTGTTTATAGTGCAGAAAAGAGTTAAAGAAAAGAATGCCAGATATCTTTTTTATTTTTATTTATTTATTTTTAATATAAATTTATTTATTTTTAGTTTTCAACATTTACTTCCACAAGATTTTGAATTCTGAATTTTCAACCCATCTTGCCCCTCCCCCCACCCCCAAGATGGCATGCATTCTGAATACCCCTTCCCCTGGTCTGCCCTCCTTTCTATCTCTTCCCCCCCCCTTCTCTTAACCTCTTCCCCTTCTATTTTCCTGTAGGGCAGGAGAGATTTCTGTACCTCATTTCCTGTATTTCTTATTTCCCAGTTGCATGTGGAAACATTTTTTTAAAACATGTGTTTTTAAAACTTTGGGTTCCAAATTTTCTCCCTTCCTCCCATCCCACCCACCCTCATTGAAAAGGCAAGCAAGTCAATACAGGCCATACATGTGCAAAACACTTCCATAATAGACCTGTTGTGAAAAACTAACTCTATTTCCCTTAATCCTATCCTGCCCCCCCATTTATTCTATTCTTTCTTTTAACCCTGTCCTTCCTCAGAAGTACTTCTTTCTGATTACCCCATTCCCAGTCTTCCCTTCTCTCTATCATCCCCCTGCTCTCTTGTCCCCTTCCCTATTTTCCTGTAGGGTATCTTTTTGATTTTTAAAAAATGCTTTTTGTTTTTTGTTATTCTCTGCATAACAAACATCAATATAATTTGCTCCCCTTCTACCTCTGATTTTTTGTGCCTCTCCCCAAAATGAAAAAACAAAAAACAACCCTTCTTGTATCAAATAAGTATATTAAAGCAAAACAATTCTATACATTGGTCACATTCAAAAAAATATGTCTCATTCTGTAGTTTGCGTTCATCACATTTCTTCAGTCTGTAATGAAGATTGATGATTTTGTCAGTTGGTATTCTTAAGTCTTTCAATGTTGTTTTTTTTCAATGTAAATTAGTATACAAATTATTCTCCTGGTTCTATTTATTTCACTCTGTGTTAGTTCATACAAATCTTCCCAAGATTCTTTGAACTCAACCCATTCCGTTCATTCTTTCTTCATGGAGCACAGTAATATTCTGTTACATTTATATGCCATGGTCAAATGATATGCAAACAATTCCATTGATTAATTTTTCTATATTTTTAACCAATACCAAAGAGTTGTTGATGATTACAACTTCGTGGTATAGTTTGAGATCTGGTACTACTAAACCCCTTTACTTCTGTTCAATTTTTTCCAGTTCTTTCCTACATTAAAAGATACTGTTATAAATATTTCTGTACAGATGGTTACTTTCCCTTTTGTCTTTGGTCTTTGGTATGTAAACCTAGTAGTGTTATCACTAGATCAGAGGATGTGCACAATTTAGTTATTTCTGAGGTATAATTCTAAATTGCTTTCCAGAATAGATGGAATACTTCACAGCTCCACCAACAATGGCCTAATGTCCGTTGTCATTCTTTTTTTTTGGTCATCTTTGTCAGTCTAGTGGATGTGAAATGGAGTTTCAGAGTTGTTATAGTCTGCATTTATTTTAATTATTAATTATTTGGAGCATTTTTATATGGCTATTGAGCTTACATTTCTTTTTTTTCCCACTTAGTAGTATTTTATTTTTTTCCAATTACATGGAAAGGTAGTTTTCAACATTCAACATTTATTTTTATGACATTTTGAGTTCCACATTTTCTCCCTCCCTCCCTTCCACTCTTCCTAAGAGAAGCAAGCAATCTGATATAGGTTATACATGTACAATCATGTTAAACATATTTCCACATTAGTCATGTTGTGAAAGAAGAATCAGAACAAAAAGGAAAAACCATGAGAAGGAAAAAAACAAAACAAAAGTGAATATAGTATGCTTCTATCTGCAGTCAGACTCCATAGTTCTTTCTCTGGATGTGCATAGCATTGTTCATCATAAGTCTTTTGGAATTATCTTGGATCATTGTATTATTGAGAAGAGCTAAGTCTATCATAGTTGATCATTGCACAGTGTTGCTGTTACTGTGTACAGTGTCCTCCTGGTTCTACTCACTTCACTCAGCATCAGTTCATGTAAGTTTTTCCACATTTTCCTGAAATCCTCCTGCTCATGATTTCTTATAGAACAATAGTATTATATTACATTCATATACCACAACTTGTTCAGCTATTCCCCAACTGAAGGGCATCCCTTCAATTTCCAGTTCTTTGCCGCCACAAAAAGAGGATAGCACACGTTTCTTAGAGAATTGTTTGCATAGCATGTGACCATTTATTTATTGGGGATTGACTTTTGTTCTTATATATTTGAATCCATTGTCTATATGTCTTGGAAATGGGAGCTTTATCAGAGAAACTTGCTGCAAATATTTTTCCCAGTTAATTTTTTATCTTATAATTTTACCGGTGTTGTTTGTGCAGAAGCTTTTCAAGTTGTTGTAATCAAAATTGCCCATTTTACATCTTGTGTTCTCTATCACTTATATGATTCCATACCTGTGAAAGATCTCTCCTGATTTTTCTGTTTGTTGGTGATATGACTTTTTATGCCTAGGCCATATATCCATTTGGAGTTTATTGTGGTATGTGGTATGAGATGTTGGCCTAAAGCTTATTTCTGTCTGACTGGCAGGTCTTTAGTTTTCCCAGGAATTTTTGTTTAATAGTAAGTGCTTACCTGGATATTTAGATTTATCAAGCTGTATGTTGCTGTGTTTGTGTACTTCTATATCTTGTATACCTAATCTATTCCATTGATTAATTTTTCTATATTTTTAACCAATGCCAAAGAGTTGTTGATGATTACAACTTTGTGGTATAGTTTGAGATCTGGTACTACTAAACCCCTTTACTTCCAATTTTTGTTGTTATTTCCCTTGAGATTCTTGACATTTACTTCCTCCATATACATTTATTATATATTTTTTCTAGCTCTATAAAGTTGTCTTTTATTAGCTTGGTTGTGGCATTGAATAAGTAAATTAATTTATTATTATTTTTTATATATTAGCTCAGCCTATTCTAGGTGGCACAAAGGATAGAGTACAGGGCTTGGAGTCAGGAAGACTTATCTCCCTAATTTCAAATCTGGACTCAGACACTCACTAGCTAAAAAGTCACTTACCGCTGTTTGCCTTAGTTTCCTCATCTGTCAAATGAGCTGAAGAAGGAAATAGCAAACCACTCCAGTATCTTTGCCAGGAAAATTCCTAATGGGGTTTCATACACAACTGAAAAGCACTGAACAACAAAATCCATGAACAATTAGTATTTCTTAAATTATTCAGATTTGTCTTTATTTCTGTGGAGAGTATTTTGTAGTTGTATTTTGTAATTCCTGAATGTGTCATGGTAGATAGACTCCCAAATATTTTATATATTTAGGATTATTTTGAATGGAATTTTTCTTTCTTTCTTCTTACAGGGTTTTATTATTAGTATACAAAAAACCTGATGATTTCTATGGGTTTATTTTATATTCTGCTACTAATTTGTATTAATACTTAACTACTTTGTATTTAGTCTCCTTATAATTACTCTCTATCTGCTTATCTCTGTACTTGTTTTTTCTATTCAGATGTAAGCCACTTGTGAGTAGGAATTGTTTCATTTTTGGCATATGTATCCCTAGTGCCTAGCACATAGTAGGTAGTTAGTAAATGATTGCTTGTTCATCTTTTTTCCATCTGGTCTTGAGGATTTTTTGTGGGAGAATTCATTTATGACTTCTTTAATTGCTTTTGCTGGCATTGGGTCTTTTAAGTTTTCTGTTTCTTTTTCTACCAATCTGGGCATTTTTTAAAAAGTAGTTATCCATTTCATCTAAATTTTCTATTTTGTTGGCATGTAAATGGACAAAATAATTTCTGATAACTCCCTCTATTTTTTTCTTTATGTGTGAATTTTGTTTTTAGTTTCTGAGACTAGCATTCTTGTTTTCCATCCTTTAAAAAATCAGGTTAGCAGTTTATGTCAGGAAATCAGCTCCTGGTTTTATTTATCAATTTAATGGGTTATTTTTTGTTGTTTGTTTTTTGTATTGTTAATCTTTGGTTTCTTCCGTTGTCAAGGTGACAGTTTAAAGCAGGGGGAACCTGTGGCCTTGAGGCCACATGTGGCCCTCTAGGTCCACAAGTATGGCCCTTTGACCGAATCCAGACTTCACAGAACAGATCCTAGAGGGGGCCACATGTGGCCTTGAGGCTGTGGGTTCCCCACCCCTGGCTTAAAAAATAATTTGGGCCATCTCTATTTAGGCCACTAGTTTTAATCAGTTTAATGCAGCATTTTCATTCCTAAGCTTGCAGTGAGGAACAGGAGGCATTGAGAAGTTGGATCAAGATAGCAAAGCTGGATGCTCTGTATCCTGTCAGATCACAATTGTGACCTAATTGTTTTGTTTTGAAAGTGCAGTATTTCTTGACTTGTGCATTAATATAGGCATAAAAGGCAGTCATAGTGAGGAATGGGTAGCTATCAGTTCCACTGATATCCAAGAAATATTAAAAGACCTAATGGAAAACCTTCACTGTGTTGGGTGAATATGGAAGGACATGGACAAATATTGCATAGAAAGAATGAGATGGCATGGGTGAGTTGTATGTAATGTGAACTTGGGGAGGAAGTGCCTATTCTGATAATACTACAAGTTGATTGATACAAATAACATTCTTAGAGCCTTAGACCAACCTTATTCATATTTAAGTACAAAAGTACCAAGTAACAATGTGTTTAGGTGTATTTGGGGTTTTTGTGTCATGGCATCCTTCTGTGGCTGCACTTTATTGAGTGTTAACTTGCTGCTGCAGCAGCTGCGCCCTCAGCATGATTGGACAAGAGCTCAGCTGATGGACTAACTTGACTGGTTATGTTCACAGTTTCTGTTGATCACTATAAGATCGATCTGGCCTTAGAGACTATTTAGATCTGACATCCTGTGGCAGGTTAATATAATCATTTTAACTATCTTCATAATCATTAGACTAATTTTAAGACCTCTTTGTTTCATGGAAAGACTATAAGCTCTTGAAGACATGGAACCTCAAAGATTTAGATCTACAGAATGGAACTGCTGTGCTTTATTGTAAGCCTGGTGTTTAGCATGATGCCCCGTGTATATAGTGGGGGTTCAGTTGTTAATGATAATAACTGACTCAGTGGTCATGCTACAGCTTTAGGAAAATTTTGTCATCTTTACGAATTGTGTCGGTTTCTTAGGATCATTTTGGGAATGGTTATTGTTTGGAATTCACTAGGTTTGTCATCATTGGTTCATAAAGTCTTTTATTATTATCTTAATCTGTTTAAATCTTGTATTGTTAATTTTTCATGTGTATATGTCTTACGTCCTTAACTAGTTGGTAAGTTCATGACAAAAGAGACAGTCTTGTATACATTTCTCTATCTATAGCACCTGACCCATTTATCACTTAAGTACATTTTGTTGGTTGTCTGATTAGTTGAAGAGAGCAAAACACATTTGTGTCATCTAAAAGGAATGTTTGCTTTGCATTTCCTTCGATCTGTCTGAAACATAGTTGGAAACAAATCACTAAACACTGTCATTTTATTCTTAGGATGGAGGATCTTTGGACCAGGTTCTTAAGAAGGCTGGAAGAATTCCTGAGCAGATATTGGGGAAAGTTAGCATTGCTGTAAGTATTTGTCTTCCTTGCACATGAGGTAGCTAATAAAGTCAAGAAAGGAAGTAGGAGGTCAGTTGAAGAAAAAAAGACTCTTGAAAGGCTTATCATTGACCTTGCTAGCTGCCATAATGAATGTCTATCTCGCTGTCTCTATCTCTCTTTTTATCTACCCTGTGTGTGTGTGTGTGTCTCTCTCTCTATTCCTGTGTGATGTATTTTCCCTTTTTTAAACTTTGTGTGTTGAGAATAAAAGTAAATTCTCTCTGAAGATAAGTTACAGAACTTCTTTTTAGTCTGATCATATTCTTAGGACAAGAGAGAATGTGTATTTTGTACTCTTTCTTTCTTGGTGTAGTCATCTATTCCCATGGCTTAATTATTACTTTAATTCAGTTGACTCCCAAATCTATATCTCCATCCTCAGTTTCTCCCCATTCTGATATTTCTAGCTGCCTGCTCAGTATCTCCACTTGGATGTCAACATGCACTTCACACCCAGCAAATTCTCAAGCCTTCTCTCTCTCCCTCTTTTCCTTCTCTCGTTTATCATGTTTGCTTAATATTGGATTGCTGGATAACATCTCTTGGACCATTTCAACTTAGTGGTATTGAACTTATATTTGTAGATTTGTGTGCTTATTTGACTTTTCAACATAAATATCTGTATTTCTTCTCTACTAGGTAATAAAGGGTCTTACATATCTGAGGGAGAAGCATAAGATAATGCACAGAGGTAAGTGCTTATTTTTTGAAAAATACATTATTTTGATTTCTATCCAAAAAATGTTTTAAAATATCTAGTGTTAAAATGTAGCTTTTTTTCCTATGACTGCTCAGGACAGTTTGTTAGAGTGAATAAATGTATTATGACCTTTTTCAGTCATTGATACCTGTGAACTTTCTGGAACATGAAGGAGTAGTAGGGGAGGATGGAAGAGGTCCTTGTGTTCAGCCAACCTTTTATCTCTAGCAATATTGCATATTTATAAATACTTAACTGCCCTTGTTCACTTTCTCTAGTGGAAAGGCAGTGAGGAAACCCAGGATATTGCCACATGCCAGTGTCATAATATGTTGTTTGGGAAATAGATTCCAGTACAGTGCTAATAAAGTAGGCCAGGGTTTATAGGTTCATTCTGTGTGTCATCTAGTTAGCTTTGCTCTGTTCTGTAGTTTAGGTTGTATCTCTCCTACAGCTAGCTGTCTTTCAAATGCATGCCACTGGTCATGATGGGGGCAAGGGAGAAAGAGACCATATATGCCTTAGGGCAGGTAGATACTCCCTATTGAAAGAAAAAGAAAGATTTCACAGAATACATGATGCTGGGGCTAGTTTAGTGGCATCTTCATGTTTTAAAAATAGAATGTTAATTATGTCAAAGTACTTTTTTGGTGAGGCAGTTGGGGTTAAGTGACTCACACAGCTAGGAAGTATCATGTGTCTGAGGTCAGATTTGAACTCAGGTCCTCCTGACTCCAGATCTGGTGCTCTATTCACTGTGTCACCTAGCTGCCCTGAAGTACTCGTTTTTCTGAGATGGAGACTAGAGGTGAAGCAAGGAAGACTGGAATTCCAGTCCTCTTTGAGGGCTTTAATGCCATTTTACTTGTATCTTATTAGGTTGAGCTTCATTTTTCCTTGCCCTCAAACTCTGTCTCTGTCTGTTTGAAGTAATAGCATCACTTTTCCAGAAAGGAAAATTGTAGAATCTTAGTGTTGAAAAGGCCCTAGGAAGTCATTTAGCTGACTATCCTGTATAGCTTCCCCTGGCAAATGATCATCCAGCTTCTTCTTACAGAGAAATTGAGGCAAGGAGCTTTAACTATTGTAGTCAGGCAGTCCATTGCAAAGTCTTTGGCTCTGTCACATGGTTCAGCATCAGAAATGCTTTTGGTTTTATTTATATTAGCGCAGCCACTGTACTATAGGGACCATAGGGTCTTACTATCTGATTTACAGCTGAAACTTCCCGCATGTGTTATCTTCTCCCTTAGTGTGGCCACCTTGAAGGCAGAGATTGTCTTCTCATTTTGTATCCCAAGCTCAGTACTTTGCACATAGGAAACATTTAATAAATACTTTTTCATTCATGCATCCCTTTATTGGTTAGTCACTAGTACTGTGTGTCAGGAGCTTTGCTAAGCACTAGGAATACAAATACAAGCCCCCCCCCCCCCAAAAGACAGTGGCTACCCTCAAGGAGCTTACATTCTAAAAGGTAGCTAGAAAAGTGGAGAGGTCTGGCTGCAGTTCTTGCAGTGGTAATGAAGAGTCTAGCTGGCCTGGGTACACTCCTTAAATAGAGGGTCTGGGAGGAGCCATCTCATTCAGAGGGAGGGGCTTTCCAGGTTGTGAAGTCTAGGGCTGAAGTGATTTTCCTGATGAAGAGGTTTCTAATGGTTAGAATGGTCTTAGATTGAATTGAATTCTGCCTTTCTATCTTTCTAGCTCCCTTAGCTCTAGTTCTGCCCTCTAGAATCCAAACTCTAGTCCCCTTACTTTTTTGATTGCACACCCCTATCAGGAAACATTTTTAGCACAGATGCCCTGATATTAGTATATTTACTTATTTATAAATTATCATACATGTAGTACTTACTAATAACAAGGTACATGAAACTTACACAAAAATAGACATTTTAAAAGATGAAATAATGTTTTGAAAATAGTTTTAATGGCACACCAGCCCTTTTGTTCTCACTAAAATATTACTCATATTTTAGTGAGATCAGTGTGATTAAATATGCCTCATTATTTTTTAAAATCTTGGTTTCATACTTTGCAATACAGCAATCCAAAGGCTAATTTTTGAGTTCAGTTTATTTTGATAGTAGGTTTTAATGACTGTCATATGAAAAAGATACCATATAGAGATATTTAGCTTCAGATGGAAAAAGTGTTTCGTTGGCTGTGCTTTCATAATTACGAAAATAATTTTTCAATTCCATCCATCAGTTATACAAATACTTTGTTGAAATTCTGCTAGTAAATTTCCCTCTTTCCTGATGTCAGTCAGTTGTTCTTGCAATCTAATTGGAAGGTATTACATTTTTATGGAATTGCAACTCTTTGGAAGATACAGAAAATTATGTTTCCAGTTTTTAAGTGTACAGATATGAAAATATTCATAGGTGACACATTGTTTTTTGGCAACTCAGAAAGGAAAGAGGGTTCATCTAATAATGTTTTTCATGACTTCACAAGGATAATGGGTGTCATATTACTTGCCTTCTCAATGAGTTGGGGAGGGACTGGTGAGAGGGGGGGAGAACTTGGAACTCAAAATTTTTAAAAATGAATGTTAAAAATAGTTAAGTATCCAGTAAGAGTGACAGTGGTCCACAGCATCAGATGCTACAAAGATGTCAAGAAGGAGGGGAACTGAGAAAAAGGCCGTCATATTTGGCAATTAAGAGAGCATTGGTGGGGCAGCTGGGTGGCGCAGTGGATAGAGCTCCAGCCCTGGAGTCAGGAGGACCTTGAGTTCAAATCCCACCTCAGACCAGACACTTGACACTTACTAGCTGTGTGACAATTGCCTTAACAAAAGAGAAAGAGAGAGAACGCATTGGTACCTTTTAAGAGAGCAGTTTCACTTGAGGAGTCAAAGATAAGGAGAAAATTAAAGACCTGGAAGCTTGGGAGAGTGGTGGAGTCTTCCATTGAAATAGGTAAATTTGGAGGGAAAGCTAATAATATAATGAGATCTGCAGTGTAGACCCAATCCATCATTCTGTGCTAGTCAGTCATTCTTCTGCACTGAAGAATAAAAAGAGGAGGAGTGTTGCACCTGTCTGCATGAGGGCCTCCTATGACGGGCATGAGGTGATAACAGGAGTGGATAGGCGATGGGGAATTTAGCCTTTTTAGCTGTGCTTTAAACCTAGGTTTATAACCATCCTGAAGGACCAACACCAAAGGTAGACAGACAGTAGAGGCTTGCAGTGATGGGGCAAAGTGGATGAGTATTAAATTATAGTGGATGATGAAGGGAGTGGTATAGTTGTATTGGAGACAAGACCATGCGTAATTGGCCATTAGGGCTGGTGGGATGTGACTGATCTTCCCTCTGATTGGTTCATCTCTTTGGTGTCATGTTGAGACCCTCACTTTGAAGACCATACTTTGTATCATAAAGCCAACGAGAGTAACAGCAAATATTCAGGTCCTTGAAATCTAGAGAAAAATAGTCATAAGCAAACAACAGGGCACTTAACTCCCAGGTTCTGTCCCTGAGGTGACTGCTAAATATGATCTGAGCTCTGACTGACTGAACAAAAGGACATATGTTTATATTAAAAGTCTTCAGTATGGGTGCCACATTTCAGGAAGGACATCGATAGACTTAGTGATTTCAGAAGAGGATGATGAAGGTGGCAAGGAGATTAGAAATGTCACATGAGGACTGGTTAAAGGAGCTACTGTTACCTGAGCAGGGCAGCAGAGTCACTGAAGGTCTTCACATGGAAAAGGGGATTAGATTTATTTTGTTCTAGAGGGTAGAACCAAAAGCGAACAGAAATTTAGTGAGGCTGATTGAAGGTTAATGTAAGGAAAACCTTCCTGACAATTGGAGCCGAACAACAGCAGAATGAGCTGCCTCAGGACATAGTGAATTTTCTACTGTTAGTTTTTATGTGGCTACCTAATGACCACTTGTTGGAGATGGGGCCCTGCTTAGAAAAAGGATTGTACTAGATAACTTCAAAGAGTCCTTTCCAAGGAAGAAGTAGAATGGGGTAAATTATCTCACATAAAAGAGGCAAGAAAAAGCTTTTACAGTAGAGGGGAAGAGGGGGGAGGAGACAGGGAGTGAGTGAACTTTACTCTCATCAGAATTGGCTTAAAGAGGGAATAATGCAATTGGGTATAGAAATCTGTCTTACCCTTCAGGAAAGTAGGAGGAGAAGGGGATAAGAGAAAGGGGGTGGGGTGATAGAAGGGAGGGTATATTGGGGGAGGAGATAAGGGTATATTGGGGGAGGAGATAATCAGAAGCAAAACACTTTTGAGGAAGGACAGGTTGAAAGGAGAGAGAGAATGGAATAAACTGGGTGGGAGGAATAGGATGGAGGGAAATAACAGTTAGCAGTAATAACTGTGAAAAAATTTTGAAGTAAGTTTCTCAGATAAAAGCCTGATTTCTGAAACAGAACTGAGTCAAATTTATAAAAATAAGAACCATTCCCCAGTTGATGAATGATCAAAAGATATGATCAATTTTCAGATGAAGTAATCAAAGCTATCTATAGTCATATGAAAAAAAATACTGTAAGTCACTATTGATTAGAGAAATGCAAATTAAAACAGTTCTGAGTTATTTTCTCGTACCTGTTAGATTGGTTAATAGGGCAGGAAAGGTAAATGACAAATGTTGGAATGGATGGGGTGGGGAAATGAGACATTAATGAACTGCGGGTAGAGTTGTGAACTGATTCAACCGTTCTGTAGAGCAATTTGGAACTATGCCCAAAGGGCTATAAAACCGTGCATATCTTTTGACCTGGCAATACCACTATTGGGTCTGTATCCCAAAAGAGAAAAAAAACGAGAAGGAAAAGGATCTATATGTACAAAAATATTTATAGCAGCTCATTTCTGGGGGCAAAGAATTAGAAACTGAGGGGATGCCCGTCATTTGGGGAATGGCTAAACAAGTAGTGGTATGGTGATTATGGTGGAATACTATTGTGTTACGAGAACTGATGAGCAGGATGCTCTCAGGAAAACCT